TGAAAATCTTGCCTCAAGTTACCATGTATTTGGGGGGCTACCGCTTTTATTATACAATTTCATTATTGTGTTTTCTTGTTCTGGACTGTTTGGCCCCTTGCAACTTTGCAAAACGATGCAGTATAAACTTTAATTGCTTTGGTTCTGTGTTCCTGCATAGCATGGAATTGGGCTGGATGGCTTTTGTGCCTCTTCCAACTGTAAGATTCTATGATAAATAAAATGCAAAACGTGTGTTTACTAGGTATCATATCCCTTTGCAATCATACAAGTGCATATGTATAGAGACTATTTCCAGCAACACACTTGGGAGGAAAAATGTTTGTGAGTCAGTGATAGATAACTTTCATATCTCTTACTAGAAATGGTTGGAAATGATCGGCCTGTGCATGTGTCCTTATGTGTATAGTGAAAAATAATATGCCTAGAAAATAATAGCAAAACTTCTTCAAATTTGGCACACATGTGCAAATTCACTCCATGTGCTGAACAGATTGATGATAAATAAGCATGCATAGATACCATAATGAGATGCTGTCGCCACCTTTGGAAAAAACTTATGTTGCAACAAAACTTCACAGATGTACTAACGTTCGAAAGAGGCACAAAACTACAAGTTTGAAGAAGAAAGCAAATCCTCTGCTATAAAGAAGCACAAGGCTAGGCTTCAAAAACATCTCTACTGATCCATCATATTCAGTCCATAAAAGAAAGCTCTTATAAGCATTATTAAATTGTATAAGAAGCTTTATTATTCTCTTCTTAGTATAGTGTTTCATAAATAATCAGATACTAACCATTCTAATGTATGACATGTGTATATTGGACACATATTAACAAAATCAAATAAACACTGCAAAGGAAACAAACACATACATATACATGTAATTAATGTTTATTTTAAAATTAGTTAAAGTGTGCACAGCACTGCCTGGGTCTATGCTAAACAGCCCCGAAACCAGTCCAAGTGTTTCCTTTTTTCCCACCTCACCTCATTCCAGTTCAATCTGCCAAACCCTCACAGAGCTCTTTTGTGCTTTCCTATCTTTTTAAATGGTTTTTTTAGAAGCGGTGCCTTGGCCCTCTCTTATTTTCTTGGATTTTTGTTGTCTTGGAAATTTTAGCAGCAATGCCTCGGGAAGTCCTCTCCTTGAGAGTTACACCAGGCCCTTTTTCAATGGCATACCAAAAGTGGAATGAATCTCCTTAAATGCAGGCAATAAGAGAATGCATTGCTCCAAGGACAAGAAGGAACACAGAGGAAGCAAACTGGGTTCAATTGTTGATATAGGTCAGTGGTTCCCAACCTGTGGTCTGTGGACACCAGTGGTCTCCAAGAATGAAAATATTGCCCACGGCCTCACCATTACTACACCACTGCCTCAAAACCACGCAGCAACGAGAGCGACGGGTCTCGCAAAACTCTCTTATAGTTCCAAGACAACGGGGATGTTGGGAGAGGAGAAGCTGCCTACCCATGAAAGATTATACTACCACATCAGTTCTAGATGTGCTCCTGATGGAGCAATGGGTTAAACCCTTGCATTGGCAAAACTGAAAACCAACAGGTCGGAGGTTCGAATCCAGGGAGAGTGTGGATAAGCTCCCTCTATCAGCTCCAGCTCCCCATTGTGGGGACATGAAAGAAACCTCCCACAAGCATGATAAAACATTCAAAACATCCAAGCGTCCCATGGGCAAAGTCCTTGTAGATAGCCAATTATCTCACACCAGAAGCAACTTGCAGTTTCTCAAGTCGATCCTGACACGAAAAAGCTCTAGATTATTAAATATGGTTTTCTGTGGGCGAGTAGATGATGACTACTGGATGGCACATGTTCTGTATCAGAAACTTGAGCTGATATGGCCAATACAATGCAATTTTCTGAATCAGCACCCCAAATAACCAAATCTAAACCAAATCTAAAGCTAATCAAAAACTGATTAATAACCCTTTTGATACTAATGTTGTAGAGTGGCCCCTGATCAAGTGGTCCCTGGTCAAAGTGGCATCTGGTAAAGAAAAAAAGATTGGGAACCACTGATATAGGTAAAGGTATTATCTTCTGCCATCAAAGCTCTTTTCTTTAGCCGCAGCTGCAGTTAGACCATACCATTCCAATGGTAACTAAGAGGAGGCAGAGGTGCATAATTCTCTCAGTGGCTCTGGTCACATATGAGATTTGCTGTATTTCCTCCTCACCTAGAACCTAGCTACCACCAAGTCCAACAGCATCAAGAGTATGTGGTTCTTTGCCAAGCCAACAACTTGTTGAGGATTGTAACTGGCACTAGGTAATAGCATGGCAAAGGAGCCAAACCCCCCACCCCTTAAACCTCCTCCATCCTTCTGACTGGTTGGCTATCCACTCAAATGAGGCTGCGACTCCTCATACAGACTCTGCACTGCCAACTTTAAATCTCAGTCCAACACATTGCCCACATTTATCAAAAGCCCCGCATCTATCAAAAGCTCCACCACAACATGAAAAGCAATGAAAACCACTCCTTTCAATTATGAGCCACCTGCCATGTTTTCACAAGGAGTTATGACAATCTTTTTTTACTCAAAAGGTGTCTTCTATTTGGAATTTCAACTGGGCATCACAACATGGGCAATAACTAAAAACATCTTGTCAGATGTTGAGGTGTGCAGCAGGATAGCTCAATGGGCATTGGCTGCCACATTTTTTATTATTAATACAGAAAAAGCAGTCAGTGGTTATATAATTTTGATTAGCCTGGTTATATTCATTGTATGCTGGCAACAATCTACTTTTGAAATAATTGATAACCCCTGTGTTAACTATCTGACACAGAGGAGCCCCCAGTGGCGCAATGGGTTAAACCCTTGTGCTGGCAGGACTGAAGACTGACAGTTCGGAGGTTCAAATCCGGGGAGAGCACAGATGAGCTCCCTCTGTCAGCTCCAGCTCCCCATGCGGGTACATGAGAGAAGCCTTCCACAAGGATGGTAAAACATCAAAACATCCGGGTGTCCCCTGGGTAATGTCCTTGCAGACAGCTAATTATCTCACACCAGAAGCAACTTGCGGTTTGTCAAGTTCGCTCCTGACACACACACAAACTATCTGACAAAGAAAGATGCTCAGTTTGAGCCTAAAATCCTTTTTAAAAGAAATTCCACAAAATATCAGGGAAGATTCATCATTATTTCAGAATCTACAGGTTACAAAATGAGCATTAATTAGTTTTCTCCACCACTACACCTTCACATGCATGTGTGTTCCTCTGGATTATGATACCTGACTTAAGGATCTTACAGAAAGATAAACACTAAATGAGGATTAAATTGGCTCCCTGCTTGTTTTTTTGTTCCTTGCAGTGTCTTCCATTTCCTTGTTTCTCCTTTCCAGCAGGATGCTGCGACATCCGGCAACTGTCTGTTCTCTCTGAGTGTTTGATTGTTTCAGTTATTCTGTAGTGATGAGACTGTCTCCAGCATAGGATTTACACAACTCAGCCACACTTCTGAATTACAACTTGTATGTCGGGAAACATGTAACATTCCCCAGACTTAATACTCTGCTTCCATTGGTTTACTCTGCCTATTAGAAGAAGCATAAGAGTTTTGTGTTTCTAGTAACTCTCCAATTAATCTAGGTTTGTCCATTTGCTAAACATATCCCTGCTTGGTCTCTTCCCATACAAGTCTACTTTCAACAGATAAAGAAGTCTCAATGTAAAAACTTGAGCAAATATTGCGCTTTTCCAAATTGCTCTATGAGTTTATATAGAGTAGTGTTTCTCAACCTGGGGGTCGGGAACCCTGGGGTGGGGGTTGCAAGGGGGTGTCAGAGGGGTTACCAAAGACCATCAGAAAACACAGTATTTTCTGTTGGTCATGAGGGTTCTGTCTTTGAAGTTTGACCCAATTCTATCGTTGGTGGGGTTCAGAATACTCTCTGATTGTAGGTGAACTATAAATCCCAGCAACTACAACTCCCAAATATCAAGGTATATTTTCCCCAAATTCTGCCAGTGTTCACATTTGGGCATATTCAGTATTCGTGGCAACAATGGTCCAGATCCATCATTGTGTGACTCCACAGTGCTCTCTGAATGTAGGTGAACTACAACTCCAAAGCTCAAGGTCAATGCCCACCAAAACCTTCCAATATTTTCTGTTGGTCATGGGAGTTCTGTGTGCCAAATTTGGTTCAATTACATCACTGGTGGAGTTCAGAATGCTCTTTGATTGTAGGTTAAACATAAATCTCAGCAACTACAACTCCCAAATGACAAAATCAACCCCCCAACCCCATCAGTATTCAAATGTGGGTGTCTTGGGTATTTTTTGCCAAATTTGGTCCAGTGAATGGAAATACATTCTGCATATCAGATATTTACATTACAATTCACAACAGTAGCAAAACTGGGTCACACAACATGAAGAATTGTATTAAGGGGTTGCAGCATTAGGAAGGCTGAGAACCACTGATATAGAGCCTTAGGCTTGGTTAACTGTCACCTCTGCATTCACTTAGTCCAGTCATTTCCACGTCTTTTTGTAGTGATTTCCTAGATCTGCACTAGGGCTCTTAAAAAAGACTATTTCAAACTAGGATGTGGTTTGTGGAAGTGGTCGTATACTTTGAAGGGCAAATGTTTTTCTTTTCTGAGTCATTGTTCAATTTTGTCATGGTACAAAAGTGCGATTTCACCAATGTGCTATAGCTTTAAAAATAATTAAATAGAAATAGGAAGAGAAGAGAAAGAGACTTGTTCGTTTTGATGCCTCTCGGAATGAAAGGGAGACCCACACAAGGATAGGGGTAAATTGTTGCAGCTTAAACTGGATATTGTAGAAAATAAGCATTTTGTTATTTTTCAAAACAAGTTAAGAATTATATCAACAGTTAGTACATATTTCCAACACATTTGCACTGGCTGGAGAAGCCCACAGTTACAAAAAAAATTAACCCAATGCCAAAATTATTTTTAAGAAAGGCATTATACAAGTACACTGCACTACTTACTTTTTCCTTTAGTGCAACACTACTCAGAGTGGTAGTCTACAAACTAGTACTGGTCCCTGAGCCATTGGCTATTGGTTCCTGATAAGTTTCCTGGAAAGAAAGAAAGAAAGAATTGCAGCCACTGGACACAAATTATGGTGCTAATATTTAAGAAGAGGGGTTGTCAGTCCATATATCAGTTAACTTGAAATGCACTGGTTTAGTATTTTATTTTGACATTTATTAAGCTTGACTTTCTGTTCCTACATCTTGACATTCCACTCTAAATCATGACTAATTCTTAAGTCATACATAATTCAACAAAATCTTAAGAACAGATATGTCCTTCAAGAGCTCTCAGAAGTCTTCAGAATACTGGCTGATTCATTAAGCAAAAATCTTCAAATAAAATAAACATGCATAATTAGTCAAGTCTATGTGATAACACTATTACAGAAAATACCAAAGGATCAAAACACAGAAATCTATGGGCGACGGGGGGGGGGGGGGGGGGGGGGGGGGGGGGGTGTCAAGAATTGGCAGAGAAATGCTTTTTTTCCTCAAAGCAAATATAGCATCATTGCCTGTTGTAAGTCATATTGGCTGTGGTTACACAGGATGCAGAGTCCGAAACCTTTTTGGAGGGCACAACGTGGCATGTAAAAATAAAGAAATAAAAGGCCCCTTTGCTATAGCCGGGAGTCACATTTTATGGAATTATGTTGTTGTAGCACAAATAAAGCAGAGAAAACTCTCAGGTAACTTAAAAGATGAAGGCCGAAATCCAGCTAAAGTAGTATAAGGAGCCACAGTGGCACAGAGGGTTAAACTGCTAAGCTGCTGAACTTACTAAAGTTTGGCGATTCAAATCCACAAACAGGGTGATCTCCTGTTGTTAGCCCCAGCTTCTGCCAACCTAGCAGTTCAAAAACATGCAAATGTGAGTAGATCAATAGGTACCACTTCGGTGGGAAGCTAACGGCGCTCCATGCAGTCATGCTGGCCACATGACCTTGGAGATTCTATGGACAATGCCAGTTCTTCAGCTTAGAAATGGAGATGAGCACCATCCCCCAGAGTCAGATACGACTAGACTTAATGTCAAGGGGAAACCTTTACCTTTTTAGACCCAGTAAATCATTAGGAATGTGGGTAATTCAACACTTTTTGCATTCTGGTGATTCAAGAGTACTGGGCTGATTCAGTAAGTGAGTGTAATTTATGTGAATGTTGACTTACCAAAGTTCCACTGATTCAGTGGGTCTCTTCTAAAAACTGGAGCTAGGCAATATAATCTGGGATGGCAAGAAGTAACCTCGTGGCATCCACCTGCCACACAAGCCTTCTCATCCCTAACGCAAGATAGGCCCATTTAACATAGTTTTGCCCCACATTAGGCAAAGTTGAAGGACACTGTTGAAATTCGTCGAATCTCCACTGTCTCGCTTTGGGGTAGTATAAACAATTCGGCCAGTTCTAATTTGGCACTGGTGCCACAATTCAGCCATCCCACTTTCCCTGGGCTCTGTGCTACGGGGACAGAGGAGTGACACCTAACAGAACTCCAAAGAGCTCATGGCCATACCTGGGCACCATTGTGGATGTTAATAAAGACACCCATTTGACTCAGGAGAGGGAAAGTGGAGTCTGCAGACATCGGCAATGGTGATCCAGGATGGTCAGGAGCACTTTGGGGCCACCACAATGAATAAGGGTGGCCATTCAGCAGGAACAAACCAATTTCAGCCATGTTGCATGGTCAGGACCCCATCCTGTTGCCACAGAGGACAGAGGCAAGCAATGAAACCAATGAGATGGTATGGAGGGACACATCCTAACTGGAACTAATTATTTTATAGTTAAACCTAAATCTAGTTTGAAAGTAACTATTGAACTTAGACCTAATAAATGTATTATAACATAACTTTCATGAAGTAGAGTACAGCTAAATTCAGATGCATAAAGAAATTACCCACAATTTCAGGTATAGATGTAGAATAGACATTTACAGGTAGGATTGCATGTAGATGACAGGGGCAGAGGGAAATCAAATGTACAACATACTCACCATGCTAACTGCATATTAAAATTAGCATTCATAAACTTTTGCTAATCCAATTTCAGTGCCTAATGCAATTTAGTTGCCCCACACATTAACCCTATTTAAAGCACAATAATCCAGTTTCAACAAACAATGCAACTTAGTTACACCACAATAAATATAAATATGAAAATGACGGCAATGCTCCTCAATCTGTGTTTTATGACAAATTCTGAAAGAAATTGAACTACTAATAGAAACAGTCTCCAAATATACACCCAGTTGAAAAAATGTGTATTTCTTTTTAAAAATATAAATTATAATGACTTCTTCTAAGGAACAGTTGTTTTGTTGGGATCTACAAATTATTAATGGGATATCTAGCTGCCTAACCAAAAGAAATAATGGTCTTCTGTTTGGAAGTATTAACTACATAACAAATCCATTAAATCAGACCAAAAATTCATGTAGATCAGCACTGCCTACAACCAATGGGAAAACTCACAAGTAGGACACAACTGAGATAAACACTATTGTTTGCTCCTAACAGTTGGTGCTCAGGAGGTATCTGGACAGATTTAAAAGTTCCAGATTCCACAATCCCCCCCCCCCCTCTGATTTTATACTGGATTAAAATAAACCTATCCAGGAACATTGTAAAAACCTTTAGAAGTATTGCTGATGCCCTGCAAGAAACTATCATCAGGAAGGCATGAAGGTAAACAGGAACTTAAAGTAAGACTTATGTATGTTCTTCCTAATCAGTTCCCATTTATGGCTACCCTATGATGTTCCTGAGAGTTTTCTTGATAAGATTTGATTAAAGGCTGGGTTTTAGCACAGCAGGTTAATTGCCGGCTGCAGTAAATGTTGCCAACCTAAAGGTTAACAGTTCGAAGCCTGCGTCAGGGTGAGCTCCTGGCCTTTAAACCAGCTTCTGCCAACCTAGCAGTTTCAAAAACAGCAATGTGCGTTGATAAATAGGTACTGCATGATGCGGGATGACACCCATAAGAAAATGCCAGAAAAATGCTGGCAATTCGATTAGGGAGGAAGTTTACGAACAAAGCTCTTCGGCAGGGAAAGTAGAACGATAGCACCCCGCCACCCCCCATGGCCAAAACCGAACACAGCCTCCAGGAGGCCAAAGATGGGAAAGCCTATATATACCTCTATCTATGTACAGTTCTTTGTCTTCTCAGTGTACACTGAATGTGTTCTGTGATCCACTCTGAGTCCCCTTTGGGGTGAGAAGGGTGGAATACAAATACTGTAAATATTGTTCTTGCCTTCCTCTGAAGCTGTGAGAGTATATCATCCACAAAGTCACACAGTGAGTTTCCATACCTGAGCCAGGATTCAAACCCTGGTTTCCAGAGCTGTAGCCCAATGCTCAATTCAATGCACCATGATTGCTCTCTAATACACACTTAACTGACATATTTCCAAGAGAAGTTACTGTTAATTTTCAATTACAGATTTTAAGGATGTATTTAGCATATTGTGGCAAACACTGCTTGATTAATTTGCTTACTTTAAATCACCAACAGATGTAATTTTCTTTCAGAAGTTACTTTTCCATTAATTCCATACCTCACAGTTTGATATAATCTACCAGAATTCGCTGTGCACTTCCTGACCATTTAAAAAAAAAATCTACGATGGATCTTCCATATACATACACATATGCATACACGTGGATGGAATGTAAGATGATAGTTTACAAAGTTACAAGGGCCTCTACTTGGATGAGTTTGGACACAAAGGAAGCAGGGGAAGGATTGAACCTGAGACTCCTTGAAAGGTTGTTCAAATCCGATCACAACGACCAAGCCATATTTTCTATGACCACCACCCTTCAAAGACTTTCAGGTCACCAGCTTCCTTCATGTGCACTGAATAGCTGCCTCCTTTCTTGCTTTTTAGGCAAACCATGGTTTGCCTTTTCCACTAAAACAGAAAATTATAGTTTCTGTTTGTCCTGAAAATCAGACTCTGGTTACTAATCCGACCTCACAGGGTGACCATGTGGCATTACTAAAGCATTAAACTAAGAAAAAGTGAGAGAACTGCCATAAATAGAGAATGAAAGACAGGGAGAAGGGAGCATACAAGCCCAGGACTCCTTGAATATTTGTTATGATAGTAACAAATCATGGTTTAATGATTTGTTTGAATTATCTTTGTGCCTTAGTAGAAGAGTAATATAAATATTTTTGACTTCTACCTAATCTTTGTATTTTCTCACCCTTTCCTATACTTGTTTCTAGGTTATATTTGCAGAGGAGCTCCACAGATCTCTTTAACAGTGACTTCAACTGAAATAAATGGACTTTATTGCAAAACACATATAAATACAAATGCATTTCTCAGCATTTCATTCATTCTCCTCCAACATTGTGCCCTCCAGATGTTTTAGACAAATTAAATCTTCCTTCAGCATTGGCCATGCTAACTTGAGATGGAAGGACTTGTAACACAAAACATCTGAAAGGCATCAGGTTTGGAAAGGTTCAAGAGAGGCTTGAGGCCCCAAATCCCCAGGAAACTACACACCCCAATCAGGACATCTCTTCCCAAATTCACCAATTATAGCTGCCATTATGTAGCTGGAATTGCCTATTTACGCCGATCAGTACTTACACAGAAAACTGCTTCATTAATGACACAGGTAACAGATCCCGGGGAAGCATCATTAGTAACATCAATGCACACATAAACATGGCTTATGAGGATGGAATACTGTTGGCTCTCCATATCCATGGATTCTGCAATCTCAAATTCCACCATTTGCATATAAAAAGAAATAAACATTGATTTTGTCATTTTATTTCAGGGATGCTATTTTACTATGCAATGGGACTTGGGTATCCATGAATTTTGTTATCTACAGAGGTATGGAAACAAACTCCAGCAGACACCATGGGCCTTTTGGGACAGTCCACAAGACACTATTCCTTGGCCCTTTGTGCCTTTCTACATATACACCACATGCAACTTTCAAACTCTACTTCTGCTTACAGGTGAAGAGAAAAGGGAGTCAAGAGCAATTCAGGCAATGAAGACACCA